ACACAAGGACATCCCACCGATTCTTGCCCAACACTTCAAGAGGAGAATCCCGAGCAAGTCAATGCGTTGGGATTCCAAGGTCAAAGGAGGTACGATCCTCAAGGCAATACTTACAACCCGGGATGGAGGGATCATCCAATTTTAAGGTACGGAAATTCTCAACAACCTCAACAAACAAACCCTCCTCCTCAACAATATAAACAACAAGGCCAAACAACGAACTCGAGTATGTCCACCGAAGACATGAGAGCTTTTGTCGTTAATATGGGAACAATACAACAGAACATGGGACAATTTCAACAAACCATGATGCAATTCCAACATGAAACCAAGTCGAGAATTCAAAATTTGGAAACTCAAGTTAGCCAAATTTCGAATGCCGTAAGTCGACTCGAGGCAAAAGATTCGGGTAAGCTCCCTTCCCAAACTGAGCAAAACTCAAGACAACATGTCAATGCAATCATGTTAAGGAGCGGTAAAGAATTGCAAGCACGAGAAGTTGAGAAGGAAAAGCAAGAGGTTGATCTTGGAGAAGGCTTTCAACCAAGAGAGGAGGAACTAACGAAAACTAAATTCTCTCCACTTTCATTGTATGAACCACTCCCTCCATTTCCTGAGGCATTGAGGGACACAAGAAAGGTGGAGAATGATCGAGACCTCTACGAGAACTTCGTCAATTGTGAGGTAAACATCCCACTCTTCAAACTAATCAAAAGTGTTCCCCGTTATGCAAAATTGTTAAAGCAACTATGCACAATGAAAAGGAGAAATAAACTGAAAGGGGAACAAAAGGTTGATAAACTAGCGTGGGGATATTTGATATGCACTAGTTTATAGTGCATAAATGTATGTTTTTGTATTGATTTTGTGTGGATTTTCTATGTTATTAGTTAGTTTGTAGCATTTGTTTTATTTTGTTTGTAAGTGTTTTTAGCTTTTATTTGTAAGTTAGGAAGTATTGATAGAGTTGTTGGCAAGGAAAAGGAAGAAAACAAGGAGAATGCTGCCCAGGAATATATACCCGGCCGGGTAGAAACCTTCACCCGGTCGGGTTTGAGTTAACATATGCAATCTCCAGGAAACTGCTTGGCCCGATCGGGCCCTATACCTCACCCGGTCGGGTGAGACTTGACCGAGGACATCCAGACGTGCTGAAGAACATCAGAACATGGAAACTATTTGATTTTGACCGGGCCCGGTCGGGTGGATACTCTACCCGGTCGGGTACTCGGCCAAAGGTGTTGAAAAACACCTATAAATAACCCCATTTTCTTTCACTTTTAATCATCCCTTCTTCCATACTCTTAAGCTCAGTTTAGAATAGCATTTGTTTATATTTTTCTAGCTATGTTTAGTCTCCAAATGAGGAGCTAAACTTCCGATTCTTGGTGTTGCTCTTGAAGCTTGTTGATTATTAATGTTGTGAGTTATTTTCTTAACCTCTTCCCTTGAATATTGATTATTAGTTCTTTCCTTAATACTATCTCTATATTAATGTTGGGGAGTGTTGCTAAGATTACAATTAGTTAACATCTTGATATTAATTATAGTAGGATCCATCTCCTTTAATAATATTCTTCCTTGAATATTAATTAATTTATATTCATATTTCATATTAATATTTTGAACATTACTTAAAGGATCAACTAGTTTTGTTTCATATATTAATTATTACTAGAAATGATCGACGAACAGATGGTTAATCGTTGATGGTTTCACAAGTAAGTAACTTCGGCTTATTAATGCACGGTCGTGGTTGATAAACTTAAGAGGGATTAATTTTGTTGGTTAAACCGAAACCGTTGTGTTGAGGTTATCAATCTCAATTGATTTCATCAAGGAGTTAAGAGATTAAATGTTACTATCAAGTCGGTATATGACGGTGTTCTATACTTGACTAAGAGTAAGGGTTATTAATGAACGGTCATTGTTAATAACTATCCTCGATGAATTGGATATACTCCTCGATTGAGTATTCGAGAGGGAATGAGTTATAGATATAACAATGATCGACTAAAATATATCAACAAGTGGAAAGTAGCAATGCCAAGTTCTTTTATCGTTGAATTAAAACACATATAGGTTGTTCATCTTAGTTTTTAATTAAATTAAATCATTCAACACCAAAACCCCCCTTTTTATTTACTAAGTTCGTAAAAAGAAAAGTATTCCTTTCCCTGTGGATACGAACTCTACTTCACTATACTACGTATAAGTGGTAGTATTGAATTTATTTTGACGCATCGTGACAAAGTGCCCGTCACATTACTGTATGGCATAGAGTGTTGGACGGTGAAACAATGTCACATTCAAAAGATGAGTGTGGCAGATATGTGCATGCCGCGTTGGATGTGTGGGCATACTAGGAAGGACCGCGTGAGGAATGAGACAATCAGACAAATGATTGAAGTAGCACCTATTGAAGATAAGATGCGAGAGTCACGCCTACGGTGGTTTGGTCATGTGCGTAGAAGACCGAGTGATGCACCTGTCAGAAGAGTTGAGATGTGTGGAGAAGAGGCAGGGAAGAGAGGGAGAGGAAGACCACAACAGACGTGGGTTAGGGGAGTTTGAAGTGATTTGCTTCTTCTGGGGTTGAATGAGGGCATGACTTTGGAGAGAGCTGAGTGGAGGGCGGGTATTCGTGTGGATGAGTGATCTCGTATCATCTTTTCCCCTCATCTTTTTTCCTTGTTTTTATCCTTATATATAAGCATTATTTGTATCCTTTTTATTTTATCATTTTTATGTATATTCATCTCTTTTTATATTATCTTTTTATCATAGCTTATCTCTTTTATCTTTATTTTCTTTCTTTTCCTTTTGGTGGTGATATCATGTATCGATTCATGTTAGCCGACCCCAATATCTTTTGGGAGTAAGACTTGGATGTTGTTGTTGTTGTATTGAACTATGTAACAGTTGGTAACTCCAGTTGACATTCACAGACCATATTGCAGTTACTACGACTTTAAAAAATACACCTGCCTATACACAACCCCACAATGGTTAGACTTCATAGCCAACAAACTTCTCACTCAATTACCAGACAAAATATGCATACATTCTTGAAAAACAATAAAACACTATGGCAATCACACATCTTATTTAAAATATTTCAGTAACTTATGAGTTACTATAACATAATACATGGTAACTTAGCCACATGACCAATAGCTTATCTCCTGAATATCAAATACCAATATGAATAACTCACAAGTTAGTATACAGTGAATAAAAGATAATTTAACTCAATAATAGTCATTTAAACCCAACAATGCTTACAAAGTTACACATAACCTACACCCGAGGCATACACCAATCCTGCCCAGACGAGTTTGGTGATCATTAGTTCAGTTATTTCAGCTATCTATTCATAACACAAATCCACAAAATCAAAACCATATTCAAGTTTACCCCAATTGCTTCTTTTACACCTTTCATACGTCTTATTGGACTATTGATACATGATAAGCTAATTTTCTCTCCAATAGGATATATCATACATTCATACGTGATACATTATGTCCATCTATCACAACAAGATATGCATATGAATACATGATAAATATATGAATCATAAATATAAGATTGTATAAAAGTCAATTTCAACACTTTCTACCTGGAGCATATTGATATAAACCTATGACATGCTCTAAGCTTGTTGGTTGTTACAAATGTATTCAATTATGAGTCCTTTAAGAGACTCTAGTAAGCACATCAGCTTGTTGATCTTTTGAGCAAAACTAACTCACTAATTTTTATAAATTTCATAGAATTATACAACGTATAAGCTAAACACAATTCACCTCTTTTCCCTACTATAATAATAATATCCCTCAAAATATTACCAAAATTATAGTGGCAATAATGGCACTATATTATAAAAAACATTAGTGCCAAATGTGGTGGACAAAAGAGGTGAATTGTTTTTAGGTGAATTTTTATAGTAGAATTCTCTACTATAATTAAAAAAATGAGGTGGATTAGACTACCAATCAAATTCTGACAAATGTGGAATGCATCCAAACATCTCTCAAAGCTTAGAGTATCTCCAATGCTACAATGTGCGCGGTGCACATGTGACATGAGAGATAACCACAAAAATATTAGCAAATAAATTATTTCTCTCCTTATTTGAATGATTTTGTACAATTTTGGTAAGGTTTTCTCTGCAATGTCAACAACAATGTCAACAACTAGACGGTCTTCTTGACATTGTTGATAAAAACTTACCAAAATCGTAAAAAATCATTCAAATAAGGAGAGAGGTAATTTATTTTCTAATATTTTACACCTAAAATTCAAATATGTCTTCACTTTTGAAATAGATTCCTAATCCAAATTAGAAAATCTTTATAGGTTTACGAATTCCTACTTTTATTTTAATAGAATGTTTTTAATTGGATTGATTTCAGTTCAGAATTAAATCAGATCATATCAAACTTTAATAATTATAACAATAAGTCACATAAAAAACAGACATCTAATAGACCATATTAATTCATACCAAATCAAACCCGAAATTTTAATTCAATTAAAAACGTTCTTATTAATGAGTAAACTGTAAGATCTAACAATTAAGAAATATAGATTTTTTATTATTATTGGGTTCATAACAATGATGTTTACTTGAGCTGCTTATGTAGAAGATCAATTTAACTTTTTTTTCCATATATTTTTTTATTTGTTTCACAAATAGAATATATTTCACATATATTTTCATGATTCAGAAGATTCCACCTATTTAACCAGAATTCAATCAATTTCAGCAAAATAAGTTAATTCTATTTACTTTAGTATTATCAAACAGACTCTATATTAGACTAAGTTTATTTTTCTTTTAAATAACATTATATGTGATTCGATAGAAATTAAATTTCAAATTAACTAAATTACATATTGCCCGTGCATAGCACGGACTTGAAAGCTAGTTTAGGTTTTAAATTAAAAAAATATATCAAATGTATGAGGGTAGTTTGATAGTTTCATCTGGTTATTCTTATAAAATTTCCCAGAATAATCTGCTTCAGCGCGAGCACTTCAGGCCATAAAATATGGAGCATTGTTACAGGTGTGCCGTATCCACTCCAACGTCATACCATTTCAAGCCCTCATTCCCTTCGGCTCTATCTTCATCTCTTGGTCTTTCAAGCAAAGCCCCAATTTATCATTCCAAGAAACAAACAATTCTGTTCACTGCCTCTCTAAGGGCTGTGTGTATTCCCCAGTTCTCTTTTCTTGAACTGCACTCCTCATGTAAAAAAAGATGGCCCCCGTTTGTAGTCTCAGCCGCTGCTGCCGCCACTGATACTGTGGAGGACAAGCTTCCAGCTGCTCTCCAAGTCATTGAAACGAAAGAGCCCAATTCCAGGGTGACCATACAAAATACCCCTCTATTGTTTTCAATCTTTCCATAGTTACTTCCCTTAATGGTGGGGAGATTTGTTATTCTTGTTGACCGGTTATTGAATTTGTATTTGACAAAATGCCTGACAGGTGTGATCATTTCTTTCTGTAATGCATTGTCTATGGACTACAAATTTTGAAAAGAGCTTAGGACAAATCTATTAACCCATCGGCCCATCCTACCCTGGATGTCATTGGTTGAACTCATAGAATGAAATAAAACCTCAAATTTTAATAACTTATGAGATTTCAATATTTATCTGTCTAAGCCACCATCTTGGGCATGTTAAGTCCTAGCCACAAGTGCTTTGAAATACAATCCTAACATATTGAGCAGGATGAAACTAAGTTTTAACAAGTTCATTTCCAACAAATTTATGTAACAACAAAAATCTGATTCAGAGTGCATCAATGCAGGTCAGATTGAGTGTAGACGTTCCTCCTGTTGTATGCGAGGATTGCTACAAAAGAGTTATAAAGGAGTTCACGAAACATTCAAAGGTAACTCAATTGTTTGTTCAGTTTTGGAAAGTGGAAACTACATAAAGTGAAAACCGAAAATGCTATTCAAATACTCTATTCAGGTCCCTGGATTTCGCCCTGGCAAGAGTGTTCCTGAAAGCATCTTGGTTAGCTATGTCGGGAAGCAAAATGTTCAGAAAGCTACTGTTGAATCTATTCTCAAGAGAACCCTCCCACATGCTTTGTCTTCGGTGGGTTTCCATCTTCATTTTTGTCTTCTGTTGAAGTCCCTCCTCTATGTTACCACGAAAGAAGAAATCAGATTCATTCATGTGTGTGCGTGTATTGTAATTCCCACTTATTTCTTGATGCATGTTGATCACCATAGGTAACTGGAAGTGCCTTAGAAGACTCCATTCGCATTGCTACGAAATTTCCGGACATGGAAGAGACATATTCATCTTTAAAATCTCTGAGGTTTGCTAGAACCATTCGTGTATCTACTTCTTATTTAATAACTCAGCTATCATGTAAAATTGGTTATCAAAATCATAAAATGAAATGAATTTGGGAGACTTACAAAGTGATATTAGCTTAAACGTCTCCTTCTTATACTATTACAGTGCATTAATTCTTTTCTTAGGAATGCCATCTCTATGATTGTACATTGTAGTTAGGGCTGAATCTTTGTGGTCATTGGGCAGCATCTAGGATGACCTATGGTCACCAGATTTTTAAGAGTCCTTTGGTAAGGTCTATCTTCAACATGTGGATGCCCTCCTAGGGCACCTTGGTCCCCCTCTTTTTTATTATTATTATTATTATTATTATTATTATTATTACTAGTATTATTATCTATGATTTCTGTTATTATTATTATTATTTATGAATATTTTATATTTTTTTGTAGTAAATTAGCTTTGATAATTATTTAATTTTAGGTATTTGTGGTATAACAATTAGTAAAATAGCAGTTTTTTTTTAAGTAAAATAGCAGGTGTTTTCTAGCCATTGAGATATTCATATACATTAAAAATACATTTTCCTTATGGTAAAATTTGTAAAAATATTTGTTAGCAATAGAATAATTAATGGTCAAATGATGTTATTCGGAAGGAATGTGGAGATTAAGTTGGATCGGAACCAAAAAGCCATTCTAGGCCACCCAATAGTCGTGACTGTCTGATATTATTACCGGCTTACCACAAAATTGCAGTGCCTGGCCACCGCCTGGCCTTATTATTAGAACAATGGCTATTTTTCATAGGCAAGCAGAATAAGCCAGAAACCAAACGGGGCCTTAGGGAAACTTACTAATGGTAAATCAGGTATGATGTCCTTCTTGATGTGGCACCTCAAATCAAATGGGTTCCAGAAAATGGATACAAAAATATTAAGGTTTTGGTAGAGTTAGACAGTGATGTAGATGCTCAGAGAATTGCTGAACAAGAGCTGAAGCGTCGTCACAAAGCTCTAGGTGCATTGCAAATTGTTTCTGATAGGGGGCTGCAGGTAAAACATGCTCCACCACTTTGAAATACACTGTTCAGTGTTTTCATAGATAAAAATGTATTTTCATTTTAATTATTTTAAGTTAAACTCAATTGCTTGGATCTAAATGCAACTTATTGGAGTAAATAGGATGGCGATGTTGCAATTATTGATATATCAGCAACAACAGTTGTAGATGAACAGATTGCTAAAAGAATTCCAGCAGCAGAGAGTAAAGGTTCAATCTATTCTCTAACATATGTTTACATTTTTAAATGTCCCTGAATGTGAGTTTCTGCTATTCGCATGGGAGTTTAAGATTGCTCCACTAAAACTAATACTCTTATTCCAAAAAAGAGTCGTATTTGGTGAAAGCACAACTTTTTAATTTGGCCAGGTACAATGGTTTAATTGTTTAAAGTAATGTAATTACATGAAAAGTTAGTTCTCTTTGGTGATATATGACTTTTCCAGAATACAACTAACTTCTGAAGTTCTGATACATGACTCTTTTTATGGGGCAGAGGACTGTGCATTTTTTTTATAAAGGCTCCCCCCGACCCCAAAATCTTTTGGAAAAAATGCTTGGATGTTGTTGTTGCTGCTGTTTCCCCCCGACACAGTCTTAGATCATTCATTTCTCTATGAAAAAAACTGTTTGTACATACTTTCTTATACACACTAGGGTGACAAAACAAAAAATAGCCTTCTCACAGAGGTGTGTATAAGGTGTGTATAAGAAAGCGTGTACAAGAAGAATGTTTGTTTTTCTATAGAGCACACTCCATGACTATGGATCGATTTGGCTTTGATACCATATTAAGAGACCTGAAGTTCCATCCTAAAATTATTAATCTAATAGGAGGAATAGCGAATGTGTTGTATGTTAGTTTGTTATTTCATGTATATCATTACGAGACAAACTCTTCAACAATTATGTTTACAGAATGCTTTAAAATATCACCTTCATACTAGAAGACTTGTTTGGTTTCTACTCCGCAGAGCTGTGCAAAGTCCGGGTTTTTTGGTTGATTGGTTTGTAGGTCTTGCTAAGAATTTGATGGGGAACATGATGACAATCATGGTAGAGTAATTCCACCCGGTTTCCTATGATTGTCACATTCACCCATTCTGGCAATGAGTGAGCTATATCCAATTGGAAGATGATCATCCACTATACTCTCAGAAATTGACTCTATAATAGGATATATAAATTGATTCTATTATTCATAATTTAACTGTCATTTCTGTTAAATGTTAATTATAGCCTTTTATTCATTCATTTTTTTATTCTATTTTCCCAGGTTTCAACTTTGATACAGAAGAGGGAGATAAAGTTCTTCCTGGTTTTCTGGACTCATTAATTGGAATAAAATGTGGTGAAACAAAGTCCTTTCCACTTGTATTTCCAGAATCATGGAAACAAGAAGATCTCCGTGGTGTTCATGCTCAATTCACAGTGAGTAAATATGAGTTCCTTCCCATTTCTGGTTGCGGATATCGTTTATTGTATATTTTTAACTGTCTAGGTGGTTAAAACACTTTGCTGATTAAAGCACTCATTATGGACATCTCAAATTTATTTTTCTTTACAATATTCAAATTTCAGGTTCATTGTAAGGAACTATTCTATAGAGATTTACCCGAGCTGAATAACTCCCTTGCTGAAAAGCTTATTCCAGGATGCACTACCATTGAGGATGTGAGCTGCTACCGTGCAATACTACTTTGCAAAGAATTACGGATACAGCATTACAGCAAAATTAAATAACTTGAATGCTTCTGTTTTGTTTTGTTAAAAAAGTAGGATAATTCATTAATTTGTAGGTCAAGCAATCATTGTGGCAAAGGTGCCAGGAAGTAGAGCAAGCAGCTAAAGAGCAAGCAACTGATAATGCAATTCTAGATCAAATTCAACAGGTCATTTACTTGTAGTTTTTTATGTCATTTATTTATTGTTTTACTCTTGGGCATTTTCTTAGTGGACAATCCATACATACCAATCCATGGCTGTAACTTTTTTTCCTTTGTGCAATGATGAGAATCGAGGGTAGGCTTTTCTGACTATATTTCTTCCCTTCTTATAATATTCAATTTATCCTATTTTCAAGAATAGCATAAAGAGGAGGGTGGCTTTTAAGTAGGATATTTTAGGTAAGTATTAAATATTTTGATTAATTCCTCTACATTTTCTTATACTGTAAGATTTGGTGGCATCCTACTTATGTTTATTAGTTAGATTTTCTATTTAACAAAAATTAAGGCATTAACTTATTCGGCTGCACGAACTAAATCAGTTGATAATGAAACAATGTGTTTCCGAAGTTGTTGAAATAAATGAATATATCACTTCTACCCTGATAAATAACCAAGTTCATCAACATCAGCCACATATTTCAGCCAAACCACCTTTACCAAACAGGCTTGTAAAATTTTTCCGAACAAGTAAAAACTGATTTCTTTAGCAATAGTCACGTTGGTGGAACTAAACAAACTTTTTCACACCAAAATAGGTATGACTTGGTAAAAGATTTTATGTGGTCACTCTCTCTAAAGCACCCATACTCTGCCATGGACCATGTGGGGCATAATGGGCTTCTGAAATGGCTCTTCTAGTACAATACATGAGTCTCATGAATTATTTTGTTGAGTTTATTTTCTTTAGATGGTTGAAGTTGATATTCCACAATCACTCTTTGAGGAACAAGGGAGGCAGCTGTATGGAGCCCAACTATTAGAAATACAAGTTAGCTCCTCCAGTCTCATTCTCAGTTAGCAGCTTCCTATTTTTGCACTATTATAAACTTGGAATCTAATTAGGGTTTTATTGTGTTAGTCCAATATGAAGTTAAATGAACAGCAGCTGGCGACTCTATCAAGTCCAAAGGCTGTCAATGAGTTCCTTCAAACTCAAAAGGAAAACATAACAAACATTATAAAGCAAAACCTAGCCCTTGGTGATATATTTTCTCGTGAAAATCTGCAGGTGAGTTTATATTTGCATTGTGTATTCCTTTGGTTGCAATACATACCATTTCTTAATGAATATCAAGGCAATGAAGAGGCTTGTATGCGATTTTACAAATTTTATTTGGTCGATGTGAGGTGTGTAGCTCGTTCCAGCATACCAATCTTGAAATATATGTGTTGGCTGTTGAGTCTTACCAAAACAAAATTGCTGTCGGAGTCTAACAAACTGCTATTGCATTAAAACTTGAAGTTTCATCTAAATGTGGGTTTACACTATTATATTTGGTCCAATTTGAGTGACTAGATAAACCATCTAGGATTCTTGATAAACGAAACATACAGATCTAACCTCAATACTTCACCAACTAACTAATTCATTGGGGTTCACTGCAGGTTTCAATTGAGGAGTTGGCAGAGGAGGTTAAAAACTCAACCGCTGAGTTCCAACAACTCAAGCAAGAATATGATGAGGAGCGTATGAAGGAACAGGTTAGGAAATAATGCTACACAGATGGAAAAAGACCCTAAGAGGCATATATAATGTAGATATAAATCATTTCATTTTCATTTACCCCAGTGCCGCAAAGGCTCCCACCTACGGTGGGGTAAGGGGGGGTCGGATGTACGCAGTCTTACCCCTGTACTAAAGCACAGAGAGACCGTTTCCGGATGACCCATAGTGAAAATCGCGTCCAAAATTGCATGGACTGACTGCTGCTTCATAACAAAGAAGGGCAGACAGTTTAGTGAGTCATTTTGCTTTATTCTATCATAATCTCAAGCCAAAAATAATGAATCTTTGGCTCCATTGCAAATGATGGAAAAATATAATGTAGATATAAATATATCAATTTTATGTTTTAACCCTGTGTAGGTGCGAGAGGTACTTGAACGAGTCAAAGTGCTCGATTGGCTTAGAGAGCATGCCAAGATTCAGTACATAACAAGATAGGGAGTAAATTTGAATGACTATTTCATGTAAACATGCATGTCCTCTTACAGTGGTTCTTATACTGTAAGCTCTGATCTAAAAAATTTTTAATACCAGACTCCTGGTTTGCTATAATACAAGATGGAAAAAGACCCTAAGAGGCATATATAATGTAGATATAAATATATCAATTTTATGTTTTAACCCTGTGTAGGTGCGAAAGGTACTTGAACGAGTAAAAAGTGCTTGATTGGATTAGAGGGCATGCCAAGATTCAGTACATAACAAGATAGGGAGTAAATTTGAATGACTATTTCATGTAAACATGTATGTCCTCTTACAGTGGTTCTTGTACTGTAAGCTCTGATCTAAAAAAATTAATACCAGACTCCTGGTTTGCTATAATACAAGATGTCCACTACCATGCTAAAGTGGATTGCCATGTCATTTCAGTTACACTTCTTATTCTACCACATTTCCAGTGTATCTTTCATGGCTCCTCCATTGTGATGAGTGATGACAAACCCAATACACCGCTCAAAGTGGGCTTTGTCTTCCTCAAATTCAAGACTGCCCAAACCATCATGATCAGACTTTGCCGCTTCCAAGTCCTATGAAGACTTGGTCAAATCCGATCCCCGCCAGTTTTTTAGGCAGCTGTGAGCTGCTATAATGCTATTGAATCAGATATTTATGCGGCCTTTTGGATCCCACTTGTTTCAGTTCATTGATTGTTGACATTGTATTAAATTTATCTTATATAGATTAGATTGAAGATACCTTTATTTTGTGGGGTGCAATAGTGATCTCCTCAGAAACCTATTATTAGCCTTCTTGTTACATATTCAAACCATTTGTCTTAGACCTTAGTTGTTTAAAATTAATTTGAATTACTTTTATTATCAATTTGTTTTTAAAAGAAGAAAGCTACTGCACTATATTGCAGGAAAATCTGACTGCAAATCAAAGTTGAAGAACAAATTCAAATTAGTTAAAGATGAAAAATTTACTTAAATGAGAAGTGATTTTATACTAGTCTCATTAAACCCCAGTTCTGATTTTTTTTTTTTTGCTTAATTCAAAGTTCACTTTTAATCATATTGAAATATCAAACTGATGCACATAGAAAAATGTGCATTGAAGAAAGTGAAGAAAGTAAAAAAGTTTAAACATGTTCCTTTCACCAAATGAAACACAGTGAAGTGTAAAACATATTCAAGCGTAGTTCGTGCTTTTTGTGAAGATACACTCATGTTTTTAATAAAAATGAATGAAGTACTAGTTGATTCCATTAAAAACAAATTTGAATTCATTAGTGGTGCTCAACTGCTCATAAGTCATCTCACATCGTCCACAGACAAAAATTGCAAATTCCCTAAAGTAATTGGAGTATTCCTCCTATCACATGACCTTTTATAACGTGATCTCAAGTTCTAATGTTGTATCATAACCAATAAAGCTCGACAATTCCAACTTAACAATAAATACAAGGATTTCACGATTGATTTATTTATAATTAAAGGGTTTAAATATGTTTTTAATCTCTGCAAATATGACACATCTTGTTTTAGGTCTCTATAAAATATTTTCTTTGTTTTACATCCTTGAAAATAATGTTGACTTTCTTTTTAGTTAATGACTAATGATAACAACCTCCATTTGACAACGGAACAACCCCGTCTAATAGATTTTCTCTGATTATTTGTCACGTCTTTCAAAAAGTATTTAATTTCGTTTTTATATTGTGAACAAAATATAAAATGATAAATTTAAATGTTTCTAGTAGATTGTGTAAGTTGACAATAAAAAAATGTCTAAGTAAAGTTGTTTTAGAATTAAAGGTGGACTAGAACCAAAATATAGCATATTACAGAGATGAAAAACAAAGAATTATTTTTGCAGAGACTTAGACCAAAGTGTGTCATATTTATAGAGAATAAAATCATATTTAAACCTAGTTAAATTAGTCTTATTTGCCTCTATCATGGGCTCATGGCTGATCTTCTCTGATATTGCTTCACTTAAGTATTCTATATAAAAAATAGTAACACAATTTGATGTTCATATGTCATTTCTTAGCTTCTTGTATACTCCCTCAGTCCCAAAAAGATCGATACATTTTGACTTTTTTTGTCAATGATGGTTAAGTTTGACTAATGATATCTTTTATTACAACATTATTTAAAATATGAAAATTATATGAACATATTCTTTATTAAAAAATCTTACATAAAAGTATAAAATTTATAAATTACAAACAAATATAATACCTAAAATCATTGTCTAAACTTTACCACCATTGACCAAGAAAAGTCAAAATGTATCGATCTTTGTGGAACGGAGGTAGTAGTATTCATGAACCTTAGATAGGGGGATTTAGGTAGCGGGTTACACTAGGCCTCACCACCCCAAATTTAACTAACAATTTCAAATTGGGTTGCTATCTAGAAATGAAATTGGTATGACTAATCTGCCCTTATATTGATTTGGATTGCAAATAATATTTATATGTATAAGTTATTTAAATGATTTTTATGTTATACGAGGTGGCTTGACAGGGAAGGAATGGGAAATCGTAAACGATGAATTGTTGGCGAAACAAAGGGCCAAATAGTGCAAGTGATTCTCTGTACCGGTTACCACTTACCAATTGAGTACGATGTTTATATGAAATGTGAATTGTTATAACGTTTGAAACTGAGCATAACACAAGGATCTAATGAGCATGCCTTACTTATGAAATGTGAACCGACTTGCAAAAAATCGTGAACAAAAAGATACTTGTATTATAAACGGATTTGACATTATTCTTTTATATTGTGTATGTATCGCCTTTTGTCCAACTTTTTATATCAATGTTAATTCAACTGTGTTTTCGCAATTAAGTTGCAGTTTGGTCAATACGTATTGCTTGAGGTATTGTTAAAAGTATAACCAACTTGCAAAAAATCGTGAACAAAATGATATTATAAACGGATTTGGCCATAATCACATTTCACAACACATGGTAAATGTTGGATCTGATTTCTCTGCCTGGCTTTTATCAAATGCAACTGAGTATATGTCACCCCCTCCCTCCGTATTCTTGTTGTCGTCAGATTTGTGTCGGCAGAGATCCAAATCCGTAAACATTGACCAAAAGTGTACTTGAACATTGGAATAGCGACTAAATTGACCATAGTAAAAGAATTAACTAATTCAAGTAATTGTAAATGTTTGAGAGTTTTTTTAACCAATTAAACCTTTATTATGTTTTCAAACTCTGTTGTGTAAATAAACCTTGCTAGCATGTAAAATACTCATCCCTCTCCTAATCTCCTATTATTGTCTCATTTTTCTTTTTTGTCTAGCTATCTTATTAAAGCTTGTCTCATATTACATTTAATAATATTTTTGTGAATCAAATATATTCATATTTTTTTCGCACTTTACTAATTCAATATCAATAACTTCTTCTTCTAAAAAATTGCAACACCAAAACCGGGGCGGTATGTACCATGATGACGACAAGTACAACATCAACCAATATTCTTTGCTTTTGTTATTGCCTACTATTGGTCTTTGGTGAACGTGTTTTTTGTCACATGTTGGTTCCTATCCCCATGGGCCAGCTCCATAAATATATCAGATCACCTATATTTCTCATCAATAAAAAAAGTAAGAATAGGACATTTGTATATATGCATCTGGTTTGAAATTGAATATTGTAGAGATTAGTAAAAATATGTCTGATATTAAAAGTAATTAGTGTATGAAGGAAAGTAAGTTGAAAACAAATCAAATACTTCAATACTTCGTATATTAGTTGATAAAATAAAATAGATAAAATGTAAATAATGATATCATGTTGACAACTTTTAACATTAATATGTTTAAATTGAGGCCAAGTAGTTATTTGGAAACGCTCCTTGTCACTTTTTTGTAAGAAAAAAACAATATAATAACACTTTTTAAGTAACACAACAACATTATAAACCTGTTTGATAATTTCATTTTTGCCTTATCAGTTTTATTATTACGCATTCTATAGAATACACTTTTTGGAAATATTGATCTATAGCCTGTACGTCTTTGTGCCATAAGAGGTAATATTTGACTTACTCATTATTACCTCTTGGACCAAGAGGTAATATTTGACTTACTTTAAAGGTTGGGTTCAACATTGTTTTAAACTATTTCAATTACTTTCTCATTTAGTTTATCTGATTTTGCACGTACATAAATCAGTGTTTTTTTTATTTAGAATAATATTACTATTAAAAAACAAAAACAGTTTCTTAAAAAAGAATTACCCAAAAATGATTAAAACACAAATTTCAATTTAGAGAAATTGTGTAATTTATGAATAATTTTTTAATATGATATTGATGATCAGACATAAAAAGATAAACAAAATAAATTTTGGTGATGTGATATTGTTTATATGATATATATAATGAATTGTAGAGAGATAACTACTCTACCACTATGCAAGATCGAATAAAAGACTCGTGTGAATTGGTAGCGTAAGAAAAAATTAGAGAACAGTGACTCACAGAAGAGGGGTTTTGAATTTAAACTCCATCTAGGGAAATAAGAGGAATTTCGATCCATCTCTTTACCTCTTTACAGGTTCTGGAGTTAGTTCATATATGGTCCAAGATTATAGGAGCTGAAGTTAAGACTACTCGATTTAGAAAAAAACTAGCCATTCACTTTCTTTAATAGGATGATCTAGTGGTGTAAATGAGTCAAGCCGTTCGCGAGCAGCTCGGGAAATACTCGACTCAAGTTCAGTCATATGCAAGCTCGACTCACGTTCGATTCAACTCGAATCTTTAACAAGCTCAATTCAAACTTGTTTATTTTAGACCCGTGGCTCGCGAGCCGGCTTTTGAGCCTTTGTGTGTGTGTATACACATATTCTATACTACGTATATAATAATTAAATTCACACACACACATTTATATAATATTTGGATTATGTATTCTAATTTAGGATTGTCCCATTTTCAATACTTATTACTATGTATATTAATAATATAATAATTATAAATGTTATAATGTTTATTATTATCATCAATATTTTATCAATATTTTATTATTATCATTATTATTTGTAATATTTATTGATAGTAAAATAAGGAATACAAACATCACTGAAGGAAAGATGAACTAAAAATAAGAACAATTAAGTACAATTAATCTGATAGTATATTACTCGTGTTATTTTGTATGTATAAATGTAATATTGGTAATTTGAAAATAGAAATTTTATTTTTACTTCGAATTCGAGCTCGAGTTCGAGCATCTTATCGAAGCTATTTAGGAAAACTTGAATGGAGCCCGAACAGAGCTCGGGTTGTGCTGAAGTTAAGCTCGACTGGATTTGGAATTTGAATTATTTAACTCGTGGTAGCTCGAGTTCGAACTCGTGAAAGGAGTACTATTAAGTGTTGACATAAACAGATCCGGTGAGCAGCGTTTAAAGTTGAAACCGGAGGCGGTCCACATTTCGCGTCCAGCTAGTCAAAGTTCAACATGAGGCGGGTCCCACTGACCACTCCGCCCAAATGATTTTTTATTCATTTTAACTCGCTACCCTTATCAATGTTCTTTGCTTCTCTACTCCACTCTCACTCTTCTCTCTCATTCTGATTTCTTACTCACTCACTCACACTCGCTTTCCGACCTCCGAGTGATTCCGTGGATCGGAGGCTCCATAACTCCTGCTTCAACGGTTTCGGTGAGCATTCACTGTGTTTTGTACTTTAATTTTAACGCCGCCGTAGTTGTCTTCGCATTTAATCGATTTTTTTGCTTGCTTGTTTTGAACTTGATTGAGCTAACCTCGAACTGAGATCTGAGCTTGTACTGTGCTTTTTAGCTCCGATTCATGTCAATGTTGTGTTTCATGTCATGGTTTGACTCACATTTGTGCTTAACCATTAACCAAGCTTTCCTACAGTTGATTTAGAGTTGCTATGTTCACCACCTGTTTCGTATTCCAGACTTGATTGCGCGTTTGCGGCCGTTTCTGTACCCGCAAACTTTTATCCATACTCCGTTTTTTGTTGAACTGGTAATGAAGTTATTAATTAGTTAGCGCATCACTTGGAATGTCACTTAAATAGTACGGAGTACTAAAACATTACACATTTCTTCAAAAACTACACTCCCTGAAAATAGGACATATTCACTCCTAAAACAAGAACCCTCAACTACTTTTATTCTTTTATCCGAATGGATGAGTCTTTTTAAGCAAAAAACAGGGATACTCCTCTTTGTGCACACCATCTATGTTTTACTCTTAAAAATCGGATTTAAGATTAATACCATATTTTCTAAATTGAAGGTTTTGAAGCTTTTCAGGTTTTTCTTTGCTCTATGATTGCTTGTGTGTGGATATACTGTGATATATTCGATGCACCATGCATCATAACCCAATTTTCTTTCTTCTTTTCGTAGTTATGCATTTGAGCTTTGATAGAGCTTAGGTGTTACTCAGTTTGGATTCCAGAACTTATTTTTGTTACTGAAACAATTTAGAGCCCATTTGGCAGGGTTATTCAGCAGAAATGACCAAATCTGGTAATTTCCAAAAGGAAAGTCATTGTTAAAATCAGATGCAGTCAAATAAGTCCCCATATTCTGCTTATTTTGAGTATCCAGGTTATTCTGCCGATAAGCAGAATACACCAATTAATGCTACCAAACAGGTCTTGGTTCTTATGTTATTAGTTTCTGGTACTCTATGATCTATGATTATTTTCTAATGCAATCGTTTAAGATTGTTTGTGGATGTAGCATTAATATAAACAAAGTTTGAGGCATCGTGCTTCAAATTTAGTAGTCATACTTCCTTTTTCTGCTTCACTTTCTTGCCAAATTTGTGTCTAAGCTCTGATTGCTTCTATTTTTTATCATCAAGGTTAATTTGTTTTCCTTTACAGAGTATTCTTTGTTGAAGTGAAAACAAACTTGTTCTAACTTCTAAGTGAAGTAGAATAAGAAATCCTTGAACAATGAAAACCTACTTTTTTCACTGTGGATCTCATTATCTCACTATATATGGACCCTCTGAATGATGTAACAGATAATGACAGCAGTAGATGCTCAAAGTCTTCTTCTTGGAGAAACGCCATGTGGTTCCTTACTACAACAGCTGCAGGTAGAGTTCTGCTTCTCCAGTAATATGGATTCCTGTTTCATTCTGCATGTTATTCTGGTGCTGATATTATCTCAGTGGAAAGTGGAAACTCTTCACTTTCTACTATGGGAAGGTTACTAAAAACATGTTTTATTTATGAAGAAAATTTGGGATGAGGTGGGTACTAGTGATGAAGAGCGGGATAAGATGCTTCTTCAGTTAGAACAAGAGTGCTTGGATGTGTACACCAGAAAGGTTGATCAGGCTATGAAGTCAAGGACTCACCTTCTTCAGACACTTGCAGATGCCAAAGTCGAACTTGCTAGGCTTCAGTCAGCTCTTGGGGAGAAGACATATGCTGGAATTGTGTGTGGTTATGTTTATGATTTATTTTAATTACAGAGTCCACCCTAAAATTTAAACTACTCATTGCCCGTTTGACTGTGTCTTTCGTATTTGCAGCCTGAGAAGACTTCAGGAACAATCAAGGAACAACTTGCAGCTATAGCACCTGCACTAGAAAATTTATGGGCCCAGAAGGAGGAAAGAATAAAGGAGTTCTTTGATGTACAATCACAAATACAGAAGATAAGTAATGAGATATCAGGCAATAATGAAAAGCAGCTAGAGCATCCCACAGTGGATGAAACTGATTTGTCACTCAAAAAGTTAGATGAATTTCATGCTCAGTTGCAAGAACTTCAAAAGGAAAAGGTGAAACCAGTATATGAGTATATATAATATTAAGAGATTTTCCTTGCTTTCTGACAGGAGACAGATTTCAAGCCTTTTTTGCTTTATTTTGTTCAGAGCGAGAGGTTGCACAAGGTCCTTGAATTTGTGAGCACAGTGCATGATCTTTGTGCTGTCCTTGGGATGGATTTCTTTTCCACTGTTACTGAAGTTCACCCAAGCTTGAATGATGCTACTGGTGTCCAGTCAAAGAGCATTAGCAATGGCACACTATCAAGGTTGGACAAGACAGTCTTAGCTCTAAAAGAAGATAAAAAGCAGAGGTTGCAAAAGGTGATTATTGTTTATATATGGTTCAATAATGTATTTTAAAAAAGCGCAGTTCTTTTCAATAATTTTTTGAATTGACTTCCCAATTGAATATTCAGTTGAAATTTTGTGGATATAATCTACATTTATAATTTACATTTCATGAAGAACATTCACAAAACTTCATTAAAAATTCCATCGGGAACCACATCAAATAGTGGATTCCACACAGTGGTTCCACGCAGGAGCTCCTGATATGAACTGCCCTCTTATCTTAGAATGCAGTCTGAAGTTTTGGTCTATCATTTGCTTATTAAGATTTCTCTTTTGCCTTTTCCCAACAAAGAGCTCATCCTAATTTGATGTGGGCTTGCAGCTTCAAGAACTAGCCACACAGCTAACTGACCTTTGGAATTTGATGGATACACCTGAAGATGAAAGGAGTTTGTTTGACCATGTTACTTGCAACATATCAGCTTCGGTGGATGAGGTGACCATTCCTGGTGCTCTTACATTGGATCTGATTGAGCAGGTACCATGATATATATGCATAAATATCCATTGTGTTAAGAACGTTATGTACTCTTTAATAGCTGATTATTACTAATCTCTCTCTTCCTCGATAAAGGCTGAAGTTGAAGTTGAAAGACTTGATCAGTTGAAAGCCAGCAAGATGAAAGAGATTGCTCTTAAAAGGCAGACCGAGCTTGAAGAAATTTTTTCTCTTGCACATGTTGAGATTGATACTGAAGCTGCCAGAGAAAAGATATTGTCACTCATCGACTCTGGAAATATTGAGCCCACAGAGTTATTGGCTGACATGGACCGTCAGATACTAAAAGCAAAAGAAGAGGCCCTGAGTAGAAAAGAAATATTGGATAAAGTTGAGAAATGGATGTCTGCTTGTGAAGAAGAGAGCTGGCTTGAAGACTATAATCGGGTGCATTATTCTCTTCCCTTGAAATATTTGTTTATCACCCTGTTCCCATCACATATATCTCTCCAAAGTACAAACACATATCATTACTGCCTTTTATCCATTCATACTATTATGATCTTCACTCAGGACACTTAAGTTTCAATGAAATCTCACACTACAATACAATATGTTATTTTCCCGAAAAAGAAGAAAAAGAGTATATGTGCTTTTAACTTATTAGGATATCAATGTAGGGCTTTTTTGCCACCCTTTATCCATTCCTACTATAAACATGTTAAACTCCAGATCCTAATTTTCTACCAAGTTCGCACTGAAGTTGCTATCATTATGGGAAGTTATGTGCTTTTATCTACAAAGGAAAAAGAGAATATATCCCCGCTAGATAGTAAGCAGAGTAGGTTTATACTTGGAAATTACAATGTTTGAAGTGGAACTGTGGTTCGGTTGTGGACCAGGATGATAATAGGTACAATGCAAGCAGGGGTGCACATTTGAACTTGAAACGTGCTGAAAAAGCTCGTATTTTGGTCAACAAAATTCCAGGTATATTATGAGGGAATACCCGCTTTCGGTGATATTAATATCTTTGCTTACATTTTGAAAAGCCCAGAGTTTACCTTTTACCATAAGGGAAATAAGTGAGCAACTGAGCAATTAATCAAGAATCCAATCAGCATAAGTTTAGGGATAACTATAATTTGTAACTAATATATTTCTACCTTATTTATTTATTTATTGTTTTTTATTCATCAGAAAGGACCTTATTCATTTATTTATTGATTGATTTATTTATTTATTGTGATTGATGATAAATAAGGCTTCCTTTAGCAATGTGGGTACTGAGACATTTTAGTATAGCTTCAGACTCTTTAGAGTTGGGAAGTCCTAGGCTGTTGGGGGAATTAGTCTTGCAGAGGTCCCCACCTTCGGGTATTTCATGTTCTTTTTGTTCTTCTTCTAGACATAGTTTCTTTTAAAAAAATCAGTTCTATAACACATCATCTCCTTTTTTGACCATTTCTCCCCCACCTCTATACTCTTTATCAGTGTGTGTATGTGAATCATGTATGTATATGTATGTGTGTATTCAATTTGTTGTTTGTTGTATAGCTCTTGTTGAAAGCCTGATGAATAAAACTCGGGCATGGGAAGAAGAACGCAACACGACATTCACTTATGATGGTGTTCCTCTGCTTGCCATGCTAGATGAGTATATGATGCTCAGGCATGACAGAGAAGAAGAGAAAAGAAGATTGAGGGTATGTCCAAAATGACCAGCATTCTTTAATCATTGTCCTTCTTTCTTCTACTCCCTCCGTCCTCTTTTAAATGTCCCATTTTACCATATTGGGATGTCCCTATTTAATTGTCCCATACCTTATTTGGTAAAGTTTGTGTGGCTCAAAATCATTCTTACTTTATTCTTACTTTATTCTTACTTTATCTATTAATATCAACCACACAAACCTACTTTTCTTAAAACTCGTGCCACCCTCTTCCGGGACATTTAAAAGGGGACGGAGGGAGTATTTATTATGTGTGTTTAATTTTGGCATCTCCACTTTCTCTACTAGGACCAGAAAAGGTTCCAAGAGCAGATGGGCAAAGAACAAGATGGAATGTTTGGAGCAACACCCAGCCCTGCTCGACAACTGAGCAGCACAAAGAAGGCGATAGGGGGTGTACGAGCAAATGGAAACGGGTCGACGAATAGAAGGTTGTCTCTTAATCCCAGTTCTCATCAAAATGGATCCAGGCCAACAACTAAAGAGGGGAGGAGGGAGAGTGCTAGGCCCGCTGTTCCTTTGAACTATGTTGCCATATCAAAAGAGGATGCAGTTTCCCACATTTCCGGTACCGATCCTATCCCAACTACTCCATAGTCATCATCTAACAAGCGAGACCCCTCTATATGTGTTCATACCGTTGGGATATCATCAGTAGCTTAGTACTAATAACTGTGTTGTAGAGATACGTATTTCAGAAAAGGATATGGATGTATGTTGACAGCAGTTTGGATATTATAGTAATTAGAAACATTTAGCTGTTTGTGTTGTCCAATGATAATTGTTGCGGAGACTGGTCAAATTGGTAATTCTGCAAAATACATGCCAATGTGGTCTTGTAGGTTGGAACTTGGAAGTCAATAACCTTTTTGGTAGGGGGCTCTACGGGTGACTTCCATTGAAGTTGCTGATATGTATTGAACTGTTGAGTTTAATGGTTTGTACAAAAAACTATTGGGGAACTTCCATTTTATAGAATGAGGAAGTAGGAAAACTAAATTCATGTGGTTAATTAAGTGCGTATTATTTTGGAGTGTACAAATATTACTAAATATAGTACTACGTATGAAGTATGAGACAAATTTAATGTTGCAATAAAAAAGAGAAACGTTACATACAGTGGGCGAAGGGAGCTCTGACTTGATCCCAGAACTTGTAAGTTACTACTCCTTCGTCCCTATTTATCTCCTCCTTTTGACTAGGCACATAGATTAAGACAGTGAGTTTTGTGTGGTGGAGAGTTGTGCAGAGAAAAAAAGAAATGTGTAAGAATGTGTAACAATTGTTGTGAACCACAAATTCTTTATCAAAAAAGGAAACATGAGATAATTTTGGGATGAACAAAAAAGGAAAGTTTGATAGTAACATAGGGATGGAGGGAGTACTTAATTGCAATTCATATGAGGTTCAGAGTTCAGACTTTCATATTGAAGGTGTTGGGAAAAGGCGTTTGTTTGTCATAGGGTTCATATTTTCATAGTTTTCACGTAATTATGACATAAATATTACTTCTTAGCTTTTAATGAACAAAATATGATTGAATTTCGTTTGGACAAAAAGGTGATTCAAAAGTCACAATCCTTAGTTGTGGCTGAGGCAGCGGAGGAAGCGGCAATCCATCGGCTCCGATCTGTTGTGACTTTTTAGTCACCTTTTTGTCCAAACGAAATTCAATCATATTTTGTTCATTAAAAGGTCCATCTTCTTAGTTGTGGCCGAGGCCCAGGCTCAACTTGAACTTCTCCGGATCTAACCACAACGATTGTGACGAAGATGGATCTCTTTGTGAAAGCGGCGATTAGGGTTCGATGATGCACTGGAGGCTAGAGTTCGATGGTGGTGCTAATGAGGGCGGTCGGGGGCGTGTGAATGAGGAGGAAGTAGGCGGTATGGCGCTGCCAATGTCTCTGAGCGGTGGCGGTGGCGGTGTCACTATGGTGTGTCATTGTGGTCGACGGCGAAGATGGCATCGGCTGCGACACGGGCGATGGCGGCGTCAGTGACATGGTGATGGCTGCAGCGACATGGTGATGGCTGCAATGACATGATGATGGTAGTAGTGACATATGAAAGTGACATGGAAATTGATCAGTAACATGAATATTTGACTGTCACTTATCTTAGTCACATTTTTGTCCAAATGTAGATGAGGTCACATTTCAAGAAATTATGTTTAATTTAGTAATAATCAAGAAAAAATCCCTATTTTTTGCCTAGAAAATATTTAAGTGTCCATATTTTTCACTCATTAGCATCAACTATTTAATATCGATTATTTTCAGTGTTAGAGAAAATAAGAAGATAAATTAATTAATGACTGCTCATTAGATTGACTTGTACGATCTCCAGATTTTAATTCAGTCAAGAACTCGTCCATTAACATTGAACAAATATCACAAATCTATCTATTATTACTCGTATAATCTAAAAGCAAAAGAATTTTGGGGTAGGAGTTCCCGCCTAAAACAATCACATCAATTATTGTATGGGGTCATGAACTAGTCTTACACTTGTGCGTAGGGTTGAGCAAAACCTGACCCGACCCGAAAAATCCAAAATTTTTTCCGGATAATATCCGATTCGATACGGATATCTGACCCGCAAACCCGAAATTGAAGAACCGAAAGACATTGGGCCTGGACCGGGTAGCGGGTAGGGTTTGTAAACTCCCAACTCGACCCGCCCGAAAATCTGAAACCCCTATACGACGTCGTTTTGTATAGGGTATATAACCGTCCTTAATACCTCAAACTCTATCCGCCTCCTTCATTCCTCATTCGATCTCTCCTCTCTCTTCGGTCTTCTCTCTTCATCTTCAGACCTTACACTCTCCTCTAGCTTTCGTCTTCAATCTCGACCCTCGTTGATTTTCCGGTTACTGTTAAGGTCACAGACCTTCGACGCTTTCCGGTCAGAGTGTCAAACTGATCTCTGATTTTTCCAGACCTTCATCGTTGGTTGTGCGACCGTTCGAAGTCCGAAACCTTAATTGGTGGGAGTTCTGAACCCTAATTTGTAATATTACTCTATCTCATCATCTCTGAGGTATTTCTACCATTCTACAGTTGTACCTACAGCTTTGTTGCGAATTTGTGATATACATTTTCATTCATTCATATCATTGTATAATTTGTATTGGATTTATGGAAGCTCATGTATTTGATTGTATAATGTTGTTGATGATGTTTAAGCTGTAATGTTGGGAATATTTTATGGTGTTCAATCTAGTTAGTTATCTTTGTATTTGTGTAGTTATTAATTAAACGTGTAATACGGGCCACAAATGTGTATCAGCCCGTGGGCTTCCTTGTAACCCGTAAGTTAGCTAACTTCTCCTATAAAAGGAGGCTAACTTACGGGAACCCAAAACTGATCAAAAGAGGCTTAGAGTTTAGAGGCGTAAAGATAGAGAGAGATTAGGGTTGCCGCTGCTCTCCTTCTCCAGGGAGAGTAGCGGCCGGTTTTCATACGGTATACCAGATTCGCGTTCAATCTTGTCGATTTCTTCCTATCTGCTTCTTTATCACTGCTATGGTTGTATGATTGTTAGTATTTTGGGATTAACATTTGGTATCAGAGCCGAGGCGTGAAACAGGTCGGACCTATCTGCGATTTTTGGATCTAACGAAGAGCTGCTCTGTTTTTTTCTTCTGTTTTTCTATATGTAGAGTGTTGGTAGAAAATGTGTTGAGTAGAAAATTCGGCAGCAATTCAGTACAGTAAAAGTGACTTATCCAATACAGAAAGAGGGGCGGCCTATTTATAGGCGCTTACAAGAGGTTTCTTGAATACTAATGGGCTTGGCCCAATTAAACAACTAAAACAAGAAGCCTGATCCCAGGCCAATGGGCTGGTCGGACCCAGAGTTAAACTAATCAATCCAAGGACCATATTATCTAGTCGGACCGTGTGCTGGGCCTGGTTCGCGCCCGAGCCCAGGCATATTGGGTCGATAGTATTGGACCTGGCCCATTATCCCAACACGAGTCCCCCACTCCCCTAGTCGAGTAGCAGACTCGGCTAGAAGGGAGTAGTCAAGTTGATCAACGATCGGTTCGTCTATCGGATCGGCTGGCTAGTCGCACCTCCATTGTAGCAGTCTGGGGTGCTCGTCAACGTAATCGTTGGCCCGTAGGGGGGCCATACTTTGCAGGCCTTGATCGGCCCCTTTGCTTTGCTCCCTACTGCTTGCGAAAGGACGGGGGTCTCGCTTTGCTTGATCGGCCCGACGGTATGCAACGTTTCCCATCAGCTTCAATAATTTGGGCCTGAAATTCCAAAATACGAGCCTTGTTTTTCTGTAGCCGTATATTGACCATGCGACGGATATACATGGGCTTTAGCCGCACACCCGACCAATAAAGAACCCCGCAGTCAGGGTTGGAATCTCGTCCAAGCCTTCGCGTTTTGTCACAGAAACCCCAGGCCAGCTTCCTAAAATAACCCGGAGCTATTCCAATTAATAATTTCCTTCCTTTTTTTCTTCTTTCCATATTCTTTTAATTTCCTTGAATCCGAGTGTGGCCTAGCCTTAACACCCTCGATCATCCACGCGCAATTCAGCCATGCAGGTCCCCTCAGCTTCAGCCGTTCCAGCCGCAGCCACGGCATCGCCGCGTCGCTCCATCCCCAGTCGGCGAAGGAAACGCAGTGGCTCCCCTTCTCCGTCGCGCCGGAGGGAGGGTCATTCACGACGTTGTTCGCCGTCGCGATCTCGTAGCCCAGGCGGTCGGAAAAAACCCAGCGATTCAAAGTCATCATCGCCGCCTGTTCCAAGCCTACGCACAGGTTCTCAACACAGTTCACGACACGGAGCTCATCATAGTGCCCTCTCCACCCGTGAACGTCGTCCGTCTGTCAAACAATCCCAGAAACCTCCAGCGGGTCAAATATCATCTATGCGAGACCCCCCGGGCGAGGCGGACGCACTGCCACAGTCTGGGAACTTGGTTGCACGAGCCCATCGTGGCGAGGTGGGGAAAGAGTCCGTGCGTGGAGGCTCTGTTAAACAAATTCAAGCCAGCGGGGTGAATGCAACGTCTCAACTCGAATTCGGGGCATCAGGGAAAAATCAAGGGGTCTCCGATAATTTTTCGATGCATGAAAAGGTCACCACCTCCTCGCGGTTGGACAGACCCGCTACGCGGATTGTGATCGTTAAGGGACATCTCCGGCCTGCTCCGGGTGGGCCACATGACCAGTCTGTGCCATCCTCCAACAACGTCACCCCTGTAGTGGACATTGCCTCACAGTCGGATAGCTCCCCCAAATCAAATGGCGAATCGGATAGCGTCGAAGATCCTAACGCTTGGAGGGAACGTTTGCGTTCCACCAGTACGGAGGCAGATTTGAAGTTGGCGAAAAGTTTGGTCGATAGCAATTGCACCCTCATGTTGCCAGATCCCGAGAGTAGCCTCACCAGCCCTCCTCCAGATTCGTTCTTCGGGGTTCACATTGCATCTATCGCGCGGGGCATGCGGGTGCCTTTATGTCCATTCTTGGTGGCACTCCTTGCCCATATCGGGGTATCGCCGTGCCAGATGACCCCAACCGCACATATGTTTACGGCTGCTTTTGTCGCACGTTGTAGTGGCGTTGGTATCCGGCCATCCATACCGTTGTTCCGTGCATGCTTTAGGTGGAACCGCCCTAACAATAAGACAGATGACGGCGGGTTCGTGTCACTTTGCCAATTACCGCACCGCAATCTTTTTGATCAGTATCCAGATCCACCTAGGAAGTGGTCGAATAAATGGGTATGGGCATCCGCTCCCCGCTCGCTCCCCGTCACGTCCACCTGGGGTATTTCAATGCGCGAGTACAAGCCTGCCTCTCTCACCCCTGACCTTGAGGAGAAGGTCGAGGCCTTGCTCCAAGGGGGCCCTTTCCCGATTAATTCGTATACAGGTAAATCTTCTGTCCCAGCAGGTCACAGATGCCATATGAGATCATCCCTTAATTTGCTAATATTTTCAGATGTGGCAGGCAACAGACACGAAGTTGCTGCCCCCAATGTGTCATTAGGGACCATGCTCCCACCTCCTGCGCCTGGTG